CATCGGCAGCGACCAGCCTGCGGCGATCTCTGCAGGACCCCAAGGCATTCATCACAGCCCCAGGAGTCTATGACGGAATGTCAGCACGACTAGCACTGGCGGCAGGCTTCGATGCACTATACATGGTACGCAATGCAAGATGATCAAGGTGTCCCCGTCAAAATCCCCGTGCTGACACCACCAACCAGACAGGCGCCGGAACATCAGCCTCAGTGCACGGGCAAGCCGACCTCGGAATCTGCACGCTGAACGATATGCGAGCAAACGCAGAGATGCTAGCAAACCTCTCACCGCGCACACCGCTGATCGCCGACGCCGACACCGGCTACGGCGGGCCGATCATGGTAGCCCGCACAACAGAACAATACGCCCGGTCCGGGGTGGCGGCCTTCCACGTCGAGGACCAGGTACAGACCAAGCGGTGCGGGCATCTCTTCGGCAAGCAACTCGTCGACACGGCAACCTACACCAGTCGCATCCGGGCGGCGGTACAAGCGCGCGAACGCATCGGCAGTGATATCGTGATCATTGCGCGGACGGACTCGCTGCAACAGCACGGCTATGAAGAGAGCTTGGCGCGGCTGTGGGCGGCGAGGGATGCGGGTGCGGACGTCGGGTTCTTGGAGGGCATCTCGTCGCGGGAAATGGCTCGCCGGCTTGTGGCCGACCTTGCGCCGTGGCCTTTGCTGTTGAATATGGTGGAGCATGGGTCCACACCTTCGATTTCTGCAAAGGAGGCGAAGGAGATCGGGTTCCGTGTTATTATCTTCCCATTTGCGACTTTGGGCCCGGCTCTCCTGGCTATGCGGGAGGGCCTCGACAAACTGAAGTGTGAGGGCTTGCCTCGTCTCGATAAGGAGGTAACGCCTCAGATGTTGTTCAGGGTATGCGGGCTGAATGATAGCCTTAAGTTGGATGCAGCCGCTGGTGGTGTGGCGTTTGAGGGTGGTGTGGACTTGGAAGAGAAATGAATAGAATACCGCCACCTGCGATACCCGGTACGGGCACAAGTGAATGCCTCTATGGTGTACAAAGTATATTTGTCGAGGTCGATTTTTGTATGGTGGCACTAGCAACTTCCACTTCGGAATATCGGTCTGGTAAATACGTAGCACCGTCCCCACCATTATTACTTTATTCCTCATCTCGCCACACTCATTATTAGGAAGGAGTTGATTCTTTGAAGATTCTCTTGAATGATCAGGGTCTAATTAAATTTCCCATTGAAATGTATTGATCCATATGCTTTTCTTTTATGGTTCGGGGAATTGACAGGCAGATTTAATTTCCTACAGCCAATCAGACGAAATGCAGATCGACCGAACCGAGGATCCTCCAATGTCGACCTTGGTTTTGTTTATTTACGACCCAACTTTTCTACAAATTTTGTACACTAGGGATATTGGGATTTTAAGACGGTTTAAAATGTTTAGAGTGGTGAAGAATGTATTCAAGGGTCGTGGGTACCTGCATCAAGTGAGGAATCGGCCAGGGACGGGTTCCTGCACGAATAGCCCTAACGTTTCAGGAAACGCCGGTGGCAACAAAATGTACTCCGTATACTCCGTACCGTTCATACCGAGAATACAATACACGATATACGATGTTGTGCGATGGACTCCATGCGATACATTGAGCCTTTGAAAAGCCAAGCGCGCTTAAAGTTTCAACAAGACTCGACACATGAAACTGCTTCATGGGAATTCAGCCCCAGTTTGCCGGGTTGGAAGGCCTAGATTTCCGAGGGGCCAGTTTCGTGCCATTATGGAGACAATCAGGAGCGAGACTCGTCATGTGGTGGAGAATGGCTTACACGCTACCAGTGATGTACGAAATGTGTGTGCCTTACAGAAAAATATCGAGGATCCATCGGCCGCGAAGGGGGTCTGGCCGCAGATCGACGGTAAAAATTCGCCTTTTTATGTGCACATCCGTGGATACGATTGACAGGACGAGGACAATCCTTATTTATTGTAACAGGAATGTACCTAATGTGATCTATAAGAATGAGTTGGGTAGAGACATGGTTATATGGTGTCAGTTGACCATTGTCCACGTAGTTGTACACTATGCGGTGATGAGGTGTCCCCATTTAAGATTGCCTTCGATTCGTAAGACAGTTGAGATCCTCGCTGTGACTTCGCCGATTGGTTTATGTGGGGAATTCAGGATGACGGGGATATGGAGTTGTCTTAAGTTTGAATGTATGTTGTACGTGTATTATACAGAAAAGAAACCTTTCAAGGTCTGTCAGGTTCACGCTCATAAGATGTATCGATGTTGGGCTCTGATGCAGTGGAGTGATCTTGTCCACATCTTCGATGTATTCAACATTCCGATCGCACACGTGTTTGACATTAGGCAACTACTCCGTACACTCCGAACAATATGAATACCAATAATAGGAATCATAATAATAGAACGTATAACACGGAGGAGAGAATATAAGAATAACGATACTAAATAGGAGAGACAACCCCTTATCACAAGTAACGAGTACCTGCACAGCCGCGATGAGAGGCATAGTATAGCCAAGTACACAGTACCAAGAGAACCGAGTCTGGGCCCTTGACAGCCAACCAATCAAACAAACCAAAATTTGCGCACGGCCAGGAACCGCCAGGAACCAGCCAATCGTCAATCGAGTGCCCCTGACATTCTGGAGCCTTTTGTTTTTTTGAGTTCAGGTCCAGCCTGACCGGTGGTGTGTAACTTGGTATTGTACTAATAGTCCCCCCTAGTCCACTTTCTTCTCTTCTTCTTTCTTCACTCCCACACACATTCATTTGAATTGAATTTTCTTCTCCTAGAGCGTTCGCTCAAGTCACTCCTTTTCAAGTTATTCAATTCCCAAAATGCATTTCTCCAACTCTATGCTGTTGATGACGGCGCTGACCGCTGGGTCGGCTGTCGCTCGTCTTCACGGCCACGAGCGCCGTCACGCCCACCCCAGAGACGTCAACATTGAATCCGAGCCCGTTGTGACTGCTGCTCCCGACGCCGCCATTGTTGACAAGCGTGGTGAAGAGGTTTTCGCTACCATCGACGGCAAGCTCGTCTCCTGGATCAACAACTGGTTCGGCGAGCAGACTTCTGAGTCCACCTCCGAGGCCGCTGAGGCCGCCCAGCCTACCGCTACTCCCACTTCCATTGCCGCTCCCATCGCCGAGGCCACCAGCGAGGCTGAGGCCATCTCGACCGTCAGTCCCACCCCCGTTGCCTCCAGCTCCTCCGGTTCTTCTGGTTCCAGCAACTGGGCCAGCTATCCCTCCAACGGCGAGTACTCCACCACCGGATTCGGTTCCTCCACTGCCAGCAAGCGCATCGGCTCCCTCGACTGGGACTACATCGGCAACGTCGGCAGCCCCTGGGGTAGCAACATCATCCGTGTCGAAGAGGATGCCGCCAGCGGGTACAAGCACGTTATCCGCTTCGAGAACGACAACTCCAAGGCCTGGACCGTCGTTATGTGGAACTCATACGGCCCCAGCGGCGGTCTGAACGGTTTCTGGGCCCCCAACAGTGCTCTGAGCTTCACCGTCGAGCCTGGCCACAGCATCTTCGTCGCCATCGATGACGACTCCCAGGGTGGTTGGGGTGCCTCCGAGGGCGAAGGTCTCCCTACCAACTTCGTCGGCCAGTACGCCTCCACCTGGGGTGAGTTCGACATGAGCAACTCCCAGAACGACGGCTACTCCGGCTGGGATGTCTCCTGCATCATCGCTGAGCTCGCCAAGTTGGACATTGCTGGTATGCAGATCTGCAACCACGAGGGTGGAAAGTGCTCCTCCATCACCAAGGGTGCCACCAGCGTTGTCAGCGCCTACACCGCCGCCGACCAGGGCAAGCCCGACAAGGCCGTTTCCCAGTCCCCTGGCCCCGTCCGCCTCGTTGTCAACCTGGGCTGGTCCTCTTAAATGGCCACGCCATTTTTTTTTTTTTTTTAGCTCTTCCCATTTCTAACAATCTTCTCTTCTCTACTGAGATTTTGTCTTTCTTGCGCAAATGGTTCAACGCCGAAGGTGTCTTTGTATCTTTCCCCTGATTTGATGTGCGTGCGCAGGTCGCTTGCCCCAGCGACCATCCTGGCCACACATCCGTCTTCGAGCGGCTCTTCGACGGCTACCTTTCTTTTGCCGTTGAGAGTTCATACATATCTTTGTGGTCATGATTTGCCTCCTTTGTCTTTTCTCTGTACATATACCATCTGAACCATCTGATTTGAGAGTTGATAGCATTTCCTTTTTCCTTTCATCTAGAACTAGTTACTTTGTCTATTACACTTCGCTCTATCTAATGGCCATTAAGCGCCGATACCTAAGGACATCTAAATATAACAGCCGTCCACTCTTCCCTGTCTGTTTCATCTCACAGGATCATTAGCGCCAACGCCTGTTCGCCAAGTTATACTTGAAACGAACTCTAGCCCAAAGCTGATGTGCAGATGATCCTTGAGCACTATATTGCATGCCTTGCATGAAGCTAAACTAACCATGTATGCTTCTGTCACAAGGTTGGCACATTGACTGATGATGTCTAATTGTTGAACCTCCCAGAGATCAACCCCAGAGGTCCAATGCGTGAGTCCCAACTATAGCACTATTTGGGTAGGTCAAGAATTTCAGTGGCTGAATGTACGAGATGAAGTTCAGAGTTAGGGCTTCGGAGGAATCCAGGATACATGCAGAGATACCTACCAAAGATAGACATTTCCAAGGTCTTTCTTCGAGGCCTCGATTGTTTATCACCGTCAGCAAAGGAATATTACGTTGTTTTGAGTTCGACTGTAAAGCTAAGAACAAAGGAGATGTTTCAGGTAGAGGACCAGATCAAAGACCTGCAGTTTTGAGGTGGCGAGGAACCGTAGAAAGGTCAACACACAAGTACAAAAAAATAAAACGCAATGCTATCGTACAGTCTTCGCTTTCACCCAAAATAGTAAAACAAAACGCAGACCCCGTAACATCCACGGAAGCAGACGCGCCGACCTCTTTCAATACTTAGAACGCGCCGAGGAAGTCTGCCGCAGAGCCAGGATCAATCTGCAACACACCAGCATCTTGCTCAGACTCCTCCTCTTCCTCAAAGCCCCCAGTCGAAAAAGAAAGCAAGCCAACATGCACCATATACCCAACGAGAGCAACGGTCCCCGCCACAGCAGTCGCAATAGACAGCAACATATCCTTGTTACTAGAATCCGCATACGAAGACAGGACCTGTTTCTCCACTGAGCTAAACGCCGAATCAGCCTCAACGGCCTGCTTCAACCGCCTATTCTGGCGCACCTCGCGCAAGAACGGCGTGTTATCCGCCAGCGTACCGAGGAGGGTATTCCCGACAGCGGCGACGGAGATGCGCTCCGGTGCTCGCCACGGTAGGACAGCTGGCACCGGCTGGAAAGCGTGCTTAGCCTCGACGGGCGCGTCGCCGAAACAGCGGCTGCGCATGCGCTCCGTGTACGCCGCCAGCAGCGGGGCCTTGGCGCGCATCGCGTCGCGCAGCCAGGGGAAGGCTAGCTCCGGTATGAGCGCCAGAGACAGGTAGCCCAGCGCGACGCAGTCCAGCGAGGAGGGGTTGTTGTTGTCGTCGGCGGGGAGCAGACAGGTCTTGCTGCGGGCGAGCATGGCTTCGAGCGGTTCGAAGAAGTCGGCTGTTAGGGCTTCCAGGCGGAACTGGTTGGTTTGTGCTGTGCGGCCGAGGAGTTTGGAGACTGTGTCGCGGGGCTGTTGGATCAGGTTGCTAGGGATTTGGCCGGATGCTACGGCGGCGGAATGCTCGCGTTTGCGCTGGTCTTCCATTGCTTGCAGGTCTAGCGAGGATAGGCCGAGGTGTTCGGTGCGGGTTTTGGCGGCGCCGTGGAGCTTGGGTGGGAGGATCCATTGGTTTGGCCATTGGAGGAGAGAACCGTAGGCTGGGGATGTGTTGTTGTAGTAGTTCTGGCTGGTTACGTAGAGGTAGAGGTCGATCAGGGATTGACCGCGGGATTCGATGAATGAGGAGAAGCTGAGGGGAGGGTTGATTATTAGTGTTTTGTGTTTCTCACAGGGGTAGGAGGTGCGTACGCAACGCTATCGGCTTTTTGCACGTCGTCGAGATTTTGATCCAGGTTCCATGCTCCCTCTGAGTATTGGCGGAGGTAGTCGACGATGTTGCGGAACCGGCTCACCCAGATAGAGCCATTCTGGAGAGCGGGGAGCTCACCTATTTGTAAATGACTTGTTAACTGTCTGACTCTGGTGATGCGCCTTGTTTTTGTTCCGGTCACGTCACTGACCTGTTGGGGACACGGAGGGATCGCTACTCGCGATCAGCTCCCACGAGTCTTTAGGGAGGACCTCGGAACAGTATGCAATTGCAGCAAGGCATTGTGCGTCAATTGAGGGCAGGGCAAAGGCGGGGCCCCATACATGCAGTTGTAGTACCATGGTGGCTTGCGCTTGGAGGAGAAGGAACGGCCGTGATTGATCTGGGCGGGCGAATCACGTGTGTTTATCCTCGGTTTCATGATCGAAGATATTTGGCTTCTACTGGCTACAAAATACAATTTGTTTATCCATGTCAGTCGAGTTGTAGATGGTCGGGATATGACTGGTTCCTCATGGGATAAATTAGAAACTCCGTTCTCTTCTCCAAATGGTTCGTTCTCGTTTACCTATACTATGATGTATACCTGCATGTATAGCTGCATGTACGTACGGAGTACCTTCCACGGCCAAATCCTTCTTCAACAAACCCCCAGTCAAAATTGAAACAAATAGAAATACAACAAAGTGTCGCGCTAAACCCAAGCTTCTTGCAAGTCCGTCACAAAACCAAGATGTGGCTTGAAGTACGAGCCAGGCAACCCCATTTCATTCCACCGAAATCATTGATAATTAGCTCACGGTATCTCGTTTTGGATAGATTGCCGATGCCTAAGATAGACAGATTACTCGTAAGAGCGAATCGGATATATCTTCCACTCTACCCGGTGCTCCGAGCATCCCTCACTCAGCCCGGGCAAAAGAAAAGGTTTTGACGTCAAAGCTCAATGGGCCTCAGTCGTATGAGCAGGACATCTAGAACATTAAGAGCCTCAATATTCATATTCACCGCCTCTCGTAGCACAGCCCAGATAGCTGAGAACCAGTAATAGCGCCCAACACATCTGTTGTATACCGCTATTTCTCGCAAGGTTCGTCTCTGCCCAAGAAATGATCCTTGGCCCTGTACACCACAAGATTCCAATTGGTACTCCATATTCCCGATTAGAACGATATACCCAGGGAATGACCTCATTTGGCGCACGTGGCTATAGAAGCCAAGGCTGACACAAACTTCAAATGTTGCCAACCGGTGCCTGAAAGATTCGAACCTTCCAAGGTTGGAAGGTTATGTTCAGAAGCACGGACATCAGGGCCTGAGACATTGATGTTGAGGTCAAAACTCCATGATTCATTGACTTCATTCAATATGGAGATTGTCAGGGCAAGATCCGAGAGCTTTGTGGCCGAAAGCTTACTTTTGTCACTTGACCTCACTATGATGGTCTAGCTTACTTCCAATACCGGAACATTCAAAATGAAACAATAGAAAAAAAAAGTCAATTTAATACAAATGTATGGAAGAGTCATGGATAACCACGGATAGACAAAGTGTATCGGGCTGAGGGGTAGAACCTTGGAAGCGGGGGAAGAAGCCTTGGAACACTATCTGTGAGATCTATTGGACACAGATTGTCGGCATTTCTTCAATGACGACAACATGCAGTATCGGTCAAGTGATGGGCCAACGACTAACAAGGATCCCAGCACGCCCGTATGCATATCTAGCTAGTAAGCATAGTAACATTGAGAAGGATAATCAGTTTTACTTGGAATCACTGCTCGGCTGTGCTATCGATAATTGGCTTGAACAAACAATGCGAGTATGAAACACGTGTTGGCCTAGTTACTGTACCTGGAAATATTAACGACCGGCTAACCTCCACTTTGTCGTAGTCGTAACAGCACCGAGGTGTATCCTGTAGGGCATGTACCAAAAAGGCTAGCAAAACCCGAAGTGCTCGGACGGGGCCAAACTCGTGTCTCCTTCCTTCTATCTCCACTCAGCCGTTTAGCGTTTAACCGTTGATATTACTTGCTAAATATATACACGCTACGGATATTGCCGATATGTCCTACAACATAGTCTGGCGCACGTTGAATCCCCGTGTTGAGTGTATGTATGCAGTCGTGTTAGATAGAATGGTGTGATTTTAGCACTAGGTTTCAGTTGGATAATATGATACAGGAATACCCAATCAATCCCAGCCATGCGGCAACGTACGGGATGTACAATATACATACAGCCCATGCAGCTATGCATTGTACTCGATTCGGCAAATGCGTTGTAAATCATAATGAGAGGCTCGATAAGAATCGCGTCAGATCGGTGCTACTTCAAATCTTATGATGGAAGAAGTGCATATACATTATGCAGGTCTAATAAATTGGTCTCCCGACTAATGAGTCATATTGACGACTTCCTCGTATTTGTAGCATTGATTGGGAGAAATATGCGTCAATTCGACTACCGCGACACCCGCCCTCGGTACATCCCTGTTAGCTTCATTGCTAGTGATTTATGCGGGATGCTAGTTAGTGAAACGGGCGGTCAGGTGGGTGTCACCCGCCGTCCCCAGCCTTGTTTATGCACGACATAAGTGTGGACCGTAAGCAATTAACTAATCGAAACGTTTTAGATAAAATACAAATTGCTCTGTTGGGTATACTAAGTCTATGGTACATGTCGATTCGGATTCGGCCAGATGCAGGAGAGAAAAGAAAACCAGGAAGAAAAAAGAGACCAAGGAAAGAAAAGGAGAATTAAAAAGAAATCCGAAACAGTCAGGATGACAGGTCACAATGGCAGACATGGAAAAAGAAAACAGAAAAGGCACTATGTCCGATCAGTGACCAGGTGAGCGACGCAGTTGATCCCGAGGTACCAAGACAGGGGGGTTGAAGGCGAATTTGGATTGTCCAATTAATGTCCAGCGGCTTGAGAGCTGCACCCTTCTCCGCATCTGCGCGTCATGGGTCAAGATCGAACAGGTGAAACGGAAAGCCCCGCAGAGACCAGACGTCATTAATAGTGCCGAGAGTTGAAGTGGGACAAGAGCAAGAGATAGAAAGGCTATTAATGCAAGTCCAGTGTATGGTAGCGCCTGCGCTGGGTCCATAGCGAACGAGTAAGGTTGCTGAAGAGCGAGGACAAACAGGGAAAAAAAGAATTAAAAGAATGAAAGAAAAGAATTGCCCGAGGCCCGTTCGAAACAAGTTTTCACCACGCGCATTGAGCTGTGGCTAGGGACGCATCGTCGAATTGAAACGCCAAGAGATGTGAATGGACGGTAGAAGAGCGAATGTTCTTTGTGTTGTCCGTCTCAAGACCCAACTTTAAGCAAGGGCGTCTTTTGCTTGGGCGGGGCATGGGGAAATTAGGTGTTGAAAGTCGAATCGAAAACAAAGGATCGCAGGTAAGAGCCGAAACTAGGTCGAAGTCGAAGTCGTGATATCCATGCTGAGGGTCCAGGTCGTAGGCGGATCTGGTGGACCAGGATGCGCCAGGGTCATCATGTTCGTTGAGGAGGGACTGTGGACTGTTTATTTCGGCAGAGGAGGCAGAGGGCCCTTAGGCGGAGGACCGGGGCATGGAGGGAACTGAGAAGATCCGACGGAAGGCATTGTGGATGGTTTGAAAGGTTGCAAGGTTGGAAGTTTGAGAGTTGATAGTAGTTCTTCGGGTTTATAACAGAGATTGCAATAGACCAAGGTAAGATGTAGCAGAATAAGGTGTAGAATAGAGTAGAGTGGATGGAGAGAAGAAGGGGAAGGGAAAAGGTTACTGGAGCAGGATTCTTATAGAAATGAAAGTCCTCCCCCAACCTTTCCGTTCAACCGTCACTAATTACAAACTAAATTAGTTTCTAAAATCCCCATCGGACATCCCTGCCATGAACAGGAGGCTGAGTATCCACCTGATCTGACGTAGGGAATTTATTGCGATTTACTTAACTACCTGGATTAGTAGCCCGATGAATAATGCAACCCCAAGCGGAAATCCAATGGAAAATTCCCATTTTTTTCTAGAAGCTCCCCACTCCTGTGGCGCCTTGTATTTCCTGTGAACCACTAGTGAAGGAAGAAAGTGGAGGGAAATGAGACATAGTAATCAAACATATATGTCGTGTTACCTCAATATATACATAGTACAGATGAAGCCCAGGTTACATGGCCTAACTTATGCACTCAAATTTCTGGTTAGGTCTCACAATCCTCGTATGTATAGTAAATCATGAAACCACGCGAGATGACAACTGGTAAAGGGCAATCTCCCGTGGGCCCACCAAGGCTCCATAGGGACGGTTCCTTGATGCGGTGAGAACGGCTTTTTCTTTTGTATTTTCTTTCCTTTTGAATATTTCTTTTTATTAGCTGTACAACCTGTACTCTGTACTCCGTAATTGAAACATGATAAACAGCAGAGGTCAAAACACATTAATCCCGTATGACTCAATAGGAAGAGAGCAACAAGACGTCAGGTCACAACACGTGCGTGTTTGCAGATCCTGAGAGAGAACAGCGGCGGGAGAGAAAAAGCAAAGAAAAAGAAATTAAAAAGAAAAAGAAAAAGAAAAAGTAACATTATGAGATTTGCCTAGTCTTTTTTGCTTCCGTCGATTTAGGGTCAAACGGGATGGCCGATTCGTATTGATTACATACTAAAAAAGGCGTGACAGCCGAGTGCCAGCACGCTGGGATTACAATAGTACAGAACAAGGATAAGCCTGTTCATCCTTCCCATTCCTAAATAAATATGACATATCATATACACACATAACTATATATGCTTAGCCCTGCACATTTGCACATATACATCCAGATGACAACGGGGTGATACGGTCTCAGGGGCTAAAAAGAAATATAAAAAATAAAAAATAAAAAATAAAAATAAAAGAAGGCATTGAAATCTGAGCTCAAATCGAGGACCCATCCTCAACCGTGGGTTCTACCCGTGCTACCAAAATAAAGCCGTGAGACATGCAAGAATAGAAACCCTTTTACATCTATTCCTTACAACATAACTTCTAACGGGTTTCGCTTTCATTTCCATGGTGTATGCACTTCGGCTATTATTCCATATTATCATAACTCCGTATTGCGCTCCGTACTCCGTAAATAATCCCCTTTTTCTTATCTTTTTTATTATCGTTTAACTCTACTCCCGCTTAGGCCCTCCCAGGTTCTTCTAATAACAACATGTAATACAAATCAAAGCTGATTTTGAGTTGATACAAGCGGATTTTGAGTTGTTTGGCGTATGCCATCAATCCTCGGCGGGGAGTACGGAATACAAAGCCGATTAACATCCGCCTCAACTAATTGTGGCTGATAACTAGTCCCTGAGTAGGATCGTCTTGCTGCAGAGGACTGTGCATTGCACATCATCATTTGGCAAGCATGCAGAACAGCGTCGTAGCACATCTGGAGAGAAATAAAAATGGATCCCTGTATGCAATTTATGACCCGGCCCTTATGATTATTGGCTATTAGTGAAGATTGCATCGAGAGGGGTTTGTCCAAGTCTTTCCCCCGTGCACATCACTGGGCCTTAGGTTTCACAGTGGGAGATCTACTTCACCCCCTGGTGTGGCGTTCATGGCGTGATCACTATACTCCGTAGGTAGCGGTTACTTACTGTGGCGTGAGCATCTTGTGTGAACTGTATGTATAGATGTATATAATTTACAGACTATGACTATGTACCACTTACCTGAGGAAATCCCCCAGCTTCGGGATGTTTACAGTATTCCCCGGAAATTATCTGGGGCCATAAATAATGCAATGGTTTCCCGTTACATCATGGCATTCGGTAATCCAGGCAGAGAGATTATTCAGTAGACTCAATATTGTACTTCTGTAGGACAGCCAAGTACAACATACATGTACTCTGCTCTATGTAGTAAGACTGTGGCGACCCTATACACATTCAACGGTTCACTCGGGATTTGCAGATAAGACCCCGCATATGTTCAAGGGGCAGGTAAAAGGAATTACAAATGCTATGATGATAATTGGAACTCCAGACGGAGTAACTCCAAGGTTAGGAACAGCATAATTTGACCTGGCTTACCGATGAAAAAGGTAAGCTACACGGAGTACCAAGTGGGGTGTCAAGTGGCAAATTATGGAATGTATGCGACCACACGGGTGTACCTGAGCTAAGCGGGGAGCCAAGAAAGGGGAAAAGAAAAAAGTGGGAAATGTGGCAAAAAAGAAAGAAAGGAAAAGGACACATGGGAAGAAAACTCTACCCATGAACTAGCGGTCCGCAAACTTCAATAAACGGTCCCAATTAGGCGTATACTCCACCCGCATTCCACCTCTTCCGCACCGTTGGAAATAAAAGCTGTGGAGTTGCGATTTGAGAGTCGGAGATTTATAAACCTTGGGTTTACTAAACAAATAGGGAATTACGTCTTATCGTAGCATCACTTTGAGATATTCACATGGTTTATTGGCTGTGGGTTTGGAGGCCACATTGGAAGGTATTCTAATAGTTCTAATACTTGAGTACACCGATATGCAGTCGATCAAAAATCAATCCGTGCCTTGTATTAACTTTCGGTACTGAAGGATGCTCATGTTCCCGAACCCAGCACATTGGGACTAAGATCCTTCTCCATTGAGAAGGTGTTGGGTCACGAGACGATGGACACGGGCTGTTTCAAGTCGAGCTCCACTTCAAAATCTTCTAGCTTGCCTTCTGGAAGTTGCGGCCCGAGGTCGAGAGAGCCCATACCACATGGGGATCTTCAAATTGGGTGGAATCGGAATGTCTCCGAGTAAATTGGAATGTGTGAGATAGACTAGTTTCATGTCCTTGTCCGTTCTGCCGTAGTGTCGTGAACGCGACCGAGACATGTAAACAGAGAGTCGTGTAGAAAAGTCAATATCACACTCTGTTTTATCGCATGCAGATCATCGAAATTTCACCGGTTGAATGCTCCCGGGGTCCCGTGGCTGACATTTTCGTCTCAGCGGCTCTGTCTACGTAGCACCGTGCCTGAAGAAGTCATCTGGGCAGTATGACAGCCCGCCACTTGCGTAACCCGTCTGATCTTCGGTGATACCCTGCCGGTCACAACATTACAGAGTGCAAGTCCTGTCGCGACCCGGTAGTGGGAAGGTGTTGTGCTCTCATAAGTGACACCTAGCCTCGTGGACTATGGAGTCGACGTACTGCGCGACATGGGTCCCTGAACCCATGACTTGACGAGATGAGACAGTCTCTCGCACGGTGTTTGCGACATGGACAAATTGAAGCAGAGTCTTGTAGCGTTTGCAGGGGGTTGGAACATAAGAAGACATCACTAATCATTCTAGCAGTATTCCATGCTTGGCAGTGCTGGCAGTGTCACAGGGCCCTTTGCGACTGATCATTCCGCCACAGTTGCCCACAGTACGAGGTTGACATAGCTTACCGTAAGCAATATCCCTGTCAGCCACATGGAGCATTGCGAGGTCGACACTTGCTGGTGGCCTATCTCGTATCACTCGCCGTCAACAGACGCCTGGGCCTGAGTGGAAATCCATTCTTCCATCAGAGGCTGCCGAGTTGACTCGGATATCACACTTGGTCTGGTCTTTTCGCCCTTACGGGTGATCAACAGACATAACACCCAACCATAGATATTGAAGCTCTCATAATGGGTGCTGAAACCAAGCTTCTTTTCGTCACTGCCAGTCGTGTCTTTAGTGGGCACCTGGTGTTCTCTAGTTGTCTGAGTTCTGCTGCTTGATCGGCGTCCGTCTCCTAGCGCAACTTCATCCGCAGATTCGGGAATATTGTGCAATTCCAGATCAGGCTCACTGTCACTCTCGATCATAATTTCGCCATCTGCCGAGTTAACCGGGTTGGCACCCGTATCCTCTGAGACATGGTCTGGTTTCAACTCCATTTTCAAGTCTTGAACCTGATGTTCCTTTCCGTGGAATGTCTTGTCCCGCGTGAGGAGCGAATGGCGGGTACGGGATTCACGGAGGAAGATAGCCACTTCGAAGTCATCTAGGTAATGTGTTAACGTACTTTCGTTATACGAAGAATATCTGATGGTCTATACCTTCTGTAATGACATCCTTGACCGGCTTGCCCTTCTTGCGCATGTGCAACCGCTCATTCTCTTCACGCAGCTTCGGAAGGACCAACGGCCGAACAGCAGCGATGACGCGTGGGAGGACAGGATCGCGAGAGTCCAAGAGCCATCGTGAATCAGATGGGGATTCTAGATAAATCCGACATTCCAGTACCGAATATTTGCTAATGCGGAGGTATCGTCGAATGGGAGCCATATTTGAATGTGCTGCGTAAGGGCGCGGTCAAAAGGCTTCCCGATGACCTCAACACCATGCCAAGCGCTCTTGCCGCCGACCCTCTGATTGGCGATCGAGACGCGTGCAAGGGTACATAGGACTTCCGACAGGCTCTCAAGGGGGCTGTCAACCAAGCCCTTCAAAAAACCTTCTAATCATTCCAGCGTTCTAACCTATTCCATCAAGAACAAAAATATGGAATAAAGACATCGGAATATACCTAGGCAGTAAGGGCTGATAGACCAAGTTAGCCATTAGATTCAGGGTACGAGATAAACAAACCACGTGAAATATATACATTTACCTAAATACATTGTACATAGAATGTAGACCTTCATTTATTTCTTAAGTGGTGAAAAGTGAGAAAATAGGTCGTTTACCTCACAGCAAAGACCTCTCTCCTTAATACGACGCTGCCATCATACAAAATGCTTAAACTTTTCTTGTCCCGCAACCGCATCCGCAATCGGACACCAAGGTCCTCAGCACGCTAGTCTCAGGTACCTGGTACTCCACATCACACTTAAAATTGTATGTGTGGTTGAGTACCTGGTACCTGTGTGATAGAGTGTAAAATCTCCGTCCTTGACGTCTTCGCGCTCCCAAGGTCCCCATGGATCCCCTCCAGACACGAATATGATAATCAAGATCACGCAAATTCTGATTCGGTTTTGATTCTATTGGAAAAAAGGAACCTGATCTATTATCTATGTCGAAATTTTCCGGCGCAGGGTACTTCTGAATCTATACAGTGCGACTTCACAGTGCGATTCAGGTACGCCAGAAGAAGAAGACTTTCATTTCTTATCTCTCTTCAATTAGTACATATCCACAAAGTTTCCGGTAATTTCATGCGTGGTTAGTGGACTAACGCTACAATCGAGGACCTTGGGGATTGCAGTCAACTAGCCTCGCACACCCCCCTACAAGTTTCTTCGTCTCGTTTCAACTTGATCACAAATTCTTCTCTCCTCAACTGGGGACACTTGCAGCATTCCAAGACTTCCAAGACTTCCAAGACTTCCAAGACTTCCAAGCCTTCTTGTCTTGCATTCTGTGTACTTCATTGGTTCTCACGGACCTTCTTTTCGTCCCACCTCTACTTCTATACTTCTTGTGTCCTAGATCGATCTCAATGGAATCGTACCCTATTCTTCTCAAGCGGGAGGATGCTTGTGAATCCGGCAATGAGTTCGACGGGCGGATGGGCCTGCGAATCTCCTCCATCTTTGTGATCATGGTTGGCTCCATGTTTGGTGCTCTGTTCCCGGTCTTTGCCCGTCGCTTTACCAAGAGTGGTGGATTCCCCAAATGGGCCTTTTTCGTCGCCAAGTACTTCGGATCCGGTGTGATCATTGCCACTGCTTTTATTCACCTATTGGGTCCGGCGGAGGAGGCACTGAAGAACGAGTGCTTGACCGGCCCAATTACTGAATACAGCTGGGTGGAGGGCATCATCCTCATGACCATTGTTGTTCTCTTCTTTGTGGAGCTGATGGTCATGCGTTTCTCGCGCTTTGGCCAAGGCCATTTGCATGACGAGGAAGGCAATACCCACACCCAACTCGATGATCACTCTATTGTCAACCAAACTAATGAGCCCAAGACTCATATGCCAGGGGAGGATCATCTCGGTCATTCCCGTGAGCACCACGATAACAGCGACTCCGAAAATGGCGTCCAAGCCGCCGAGGACTATGCCGCTCAGCTTACTTCGATCTTCATCCTGGAGTTCGGCATCATCTTCCACTCTGTTTTCATCGGTCTCACTCTTGCAGTGTCAGGCGAGGAGTTCATTACCCTCTACATTGTGCTTGTCTTCCATCAAACCTTTGAAGGACTTGGTCTTGGTTCTCGTCTAGCTACACTTCCTTGGCCCAAATCGAAGCGCAACACTCCCTACTACCTGGGCCTTGCATATGGACTCTCGACTCCAATTGCTATTGCTATTGGATTGGGTGTCCGAAACAGCTACCCGCCTACCGGCCGAACCACACTCATCGTCAACGGTGTCTTTGACTCTATTTCCGCTGGAATTCTGATCTATACTGCTCTCGTTGAGCTTATGGCTCATGAGTTCATGTTCAGCCACTCCATGCGCAAGGCTCCCATCCGCGATGTGCTGACTGCCTTCTTCCTCCTTTGTGCCGGAGCTGCCCTTATGGCGCTGCTGGGCAAATGGGCATAGAGGTATCTTTGCTGCTTCAGTGATGACGGAAACAAAAGTCTGGGAACATTCTTCCCAATAATACGTCATGTCTTTGCTTTTTCTTTGCCATAATTTTCTGTCAGGTCAGATATCGTTTCTCTATTTGCGATACCCACGGGATCTGGGTCCGTTTTAGCCACATCCGGCGTTACTTTACGGAATGTATCTAATTAAGCCGATGAACGAAAAACTATCAGAACCATTTAAGTGAGAGTTAAGCAGTAGCAATCAATGTATAATACAACAAGCAGTAGACCCAGGTCCAGGTCCAAGACTGATCTTATATCTCCATATAACCCACGTGCTTGACATCCGAGGCATACCAAGCCCAACCCTGAAGCCAAGCGTGGATAAGCCATTAGGTTAATTCTTAGTTGCACGCTTAACGATTTCCATAGGGCTGCCCAGGGTAGGTAGTTCCTGACAGGGATCCCCCGCTCCAACTTGTACGACAGGTCTGAAATGAAATAAATAGCAGTGAGTCACCAGAGGTGCCTGACACACTTGATCCCTCCAGTCCTATCTGGAAGGACCACAATTCAAAACTTCACCAAAACCATCTCTCAGGAGCTGTCGAAATGGCTTCAGCACGCGACTTGACCGCGCTCCCTGGGTGCGACGGGTCCAAGGCTGCGACTCAAGACACTGTCGACCAAGTTGGCGTTGACCCTGCTAATTCCTTGAAGCGACAGAGTCTCTCAGACCTCTTCACTATTGTAAGTGCATCGTCCCTATCCATGCCAGGTTACTTCTTGTTTTCCCTGCACCCGCAGCTCAAGTTAGCCAATGACAGACTGACCAACCGGATGGCGTTCAATAGTTTGCAAGCGGCTTCGCTCTGATCAGCGATGGATACCAAAACAATTTGATGTGGGTAGAGTAGTTGCTCCCGTGCACAACCGTGTCTTAACGAGACGCCTAGGACTATGACCAATGTCCTTCTCAAAAAGGAATACCCCAAGGAGTACACTTCCGCCGTCAGCACGCGCGTTTCGAATGCTCTACTTGTCGGCGAAGTCATTGGGCAGGTTGTTATCGGGTACGAATAAGACACTACTAAATGTTAGGGCTATGGAAGGATTTGACAACTGACGATACTATACCAGACTGACATGCGACTATCTCGGTCGTAAGACCGCTATCGTCTTCACAACCCTCATGATTGTCATCGGAGGTATTCTTGCCACAGCCTCGCATGGCGTTACCATCGATGGCATGTTCTGGATGATGACGGTTGCCCGTGGCGTTGTCGGGTTCGGTAAGTAAAGCCTCAATATATTTGCATTGCTTGCGTATCCCAACGACTTCATTCCTTGGTCACTCTACTAACTATCTCCAGGCGCCGGCGGCGAGTATCCGGCCTCTTCAACTTCCGCCTCGGAAGCAGCAAACGATCTAACCCCGAAACACCGTGGCCCAGCATTCATCATGGTAACCAACTTCCCCTTGTCATTTGGGGGCCCATTCGCAGTGTCAATCTTCTTGATCGTACTCTCAGCCTGTCAGCAGTCCCACTACAGCACCGTCTGGCGGGTGTGCTTTGGCATAGGATGCATCTGGCCGCTGTCGGTGTTCTATTTCCGAATCCGCATGCTGAACTCGGTGCTGTATCGACGCGGAGCGATCAAGAAACACGTACCGTACATGCTCGTGCTGCGGTATTACTGGAAAGCGTTGATTGGAACTTGCGGTGCTTGGTTCCTCTACGGCAAGAGAACCCTCCAGTATTCACAAGCATGTCGAAACTAACTAACATGTGCAGACTTCGTCACTTTCCCTAACGGCGTCTTCTCCGGTACGATCATCTCCTCGGTCGTGCACGACGGGACAATCCTGAAAACAGGCGAATGGCAGCTCCTCCTCGGCGCAATCGCGCTGCCGGGAGTCTTCCTCGGAGCTGTTCTCTGCGACCGCCTTGGTCGCAAGCGCATCATGATGATCGGCTTCAGCGGATACCTGATCTTCGGCCTGATTATCGGCTGCGCCTACGACCGCGTTACTAAGATCGTGCCTCTCTTCGTCGTCTTCTACGGACTGATGCAGAGCTCGGGCAATTTCGGTCCGGGCAATATGCTTGGTCTGCTTTCGTCTGAGTCGTATGCTACCGGTGTGCGAGGGACTTGCTATGGGCTCTCTGCGGCGATTGGGAAGGCTGGTGCTGCTATCGGTACACAGGCGTTTCAGCCTATTAAGGATCGTCTGGGGAATAAGTGGACTTTCATTATTGCTGCTATTTGTGGCGTTGTTGGGATCTTGGTTACTTTCTTCTTTGTGCCTGATTTGACGGGCGAGGATTTGAGACTGCGCGATGAGAAGTTCCGTGCTTATCTTGTTTCCAATGGCTGGGATGGCGATATGGGCGAGGGTGATCTGCAAGCGGCTGCTGATCAGGCCATGGCCCCGGGTCTTCCTAATGATGATGGTAAATCCGTGGACCAGACGGTGAAGGGTTAGAATGGCTTCGGTGCATGGCAATCGTCGGCGAACAGCCGAAGGTCTGGAATGGGGATGTTGTGATATCCCCATATGACCTCAGAACTAACGGATCTCAATTGTTTAGGTAGAACCACAAGTGAGATATCCGCTTAATCCTAGTCAATAATGAGCAATACCCACCTCGCAACAAACTTGGAGATCCTTGATTAACGGCTTGCACCCATAAGCTTAAAGCACAGACCAACGCTAAACCTGGGTCCAATCCCCGCCTATCTGTCCACATCCCCAAACTCCTCATCTCTCCAATTCCCTCTCCTCATTCCACCCCAACACACAATGCGTCTCACCTCCATCCTTATCGCAGCCCTCGGCTCCCTCGCGGCTGCCGCCGACCTCGGCATCGAAGTAACGCACGCTGTCGAGTGCACCCGCAAGACCACCAACGGCGACGGAGTCGCCATGCACTACCGCGGCACCCTGCAGTCCGACGGATCCGAGTTCGATTCCAGCTACAAGCGCCAAGCGCCATTGACCTTTAAGCTGGGTACCGGTCGTGTTATCAAGGGGTGAGTTGGAAGCTATCTGGGGCTGTTTGTGGATGTCAATCGTGCAATTGCCTACAGATATCCTGTTTAGTTATTTGTGTGGAAGCTAATCTGTGTTTCCGTTGCATGCAGATGGGACCAGGGTTTGCTGGACATGTGCATTGGTGAGAAGCGCACGCTGACTATCCCGCCCGAGTTCGGCTACGGCGACCGCGGTATCGGGCCTATTCCCGGCGGTGCGACGTTGGTGTTTGAGACCGAGCTGGTCGGTATTGATGGTGTGAAGGATGAGCTTTGAATTAGCGGTGTTTGATACCTACCTGTGTGACCTCTGGGAGGGATTCTGATGACCAGCCCATGATATCCGGTAACAATTATATACCTTTTCGCATGCGAGTTGTTTTATATTATAGCAGTAGGGTATCTCGTCTATGTGGTAAGATGTACACTGTATACAAACCGGCTGAACAATCAGCGAAGTAAAACAGCAATCAAACAGTGGACCAACTATCAGTCCATCGCATCTAGAGCATTCTCGGTCTGGATGTCATGCTCCGAAACCAGAATTCCGACCAGACATTCGCCAAGAATCCCCTCCCAGTTGACCCACGGGTGGATTTCCTGAAACAGCTGTCCAGAGTCCTTCCCCGCGCCACGGAGGAGCTCACCCTTCCCGCCCGGATGGTAAGGGGCGTAGGGCGAAATGTTATATACCTTTCCATAGTACGAAGTCCAGGCATCCCGACCCTTACGTCCATGCTGCTCCTTCAGCATTGACGGTGTGACTCGCAACAGGCCTGGGGGAAGGCCTTCGCCGCGGAGGTTGTTCTTCGGGTTCGCTGCTAGCGCTGCCCAGTCAAGAGGCGAGAATCCCGGCTCGAGAATCACTTTGCGTGATGATGACTTCTTCAAGGATACTTGTGTCGGGGCGAGGGTGCTGTTGCTAAGACGGCTGCCGCTGCTCGGTGGGCCTAGGCCGCGCTGAGAGGCGGCTGCTGATGGTGGCGGGCCGAGGGAGTTGCCGCTGAGCCGTGGGGGTTGGAGCGTGCTTGTTGGGGTGAGGCGGTTTGCTTGGTTTGCTTGGTTTGCTGGTCGGGGCCGTGGCACTGGGGGAGGGGGCATTAGGGAAGAGGCGCCGCTTGTTGCCTTCGGGGGTATAGATGATGGTTGTGGTTTTGGAGGGGGTGCGAGGGGTGGCTGCAGTGGCGGCATGAACTTTGGTTCCTCATGTAGTTGCTTTGCTGTCCCATTCATGGTTTGTGAGATGGACGCCATTGTAGCGGGTTGCAATGTGTCGCTCTCGCCGCTGTCTAGGCTGAATGTGGGGACGGGAAGAACGGGGGTTGGTATGGCCGAAGCCGAAGCCTTGGGTGTGTTCTGGGAATCCTCCTCCTCTGTCTCTATTGATGGCGTCGAGGTCCGTGAGCCATGCTTCTGCTGAACAGGCTCATTTGCGGTGGCAGCGGCAACCGGCGCGCCGGGGTTGGGTTCCGGAGGGGATGAAGAACGAGGTTCGGCCCAGCTGTGAGGAGGGTAGCGGTAGAGAAAGTAGCCTATTGTTGCAATAAGCACACCCGCACCTACCCAACCCATGCCGAGCTATATCAGAAATGCACTGAAAGTGAGAAAAGTGAGTCCAGAAGGTTGTTCCTGATTAGAATCACAATCTTGCAGATTCGCCGAGACAAGTGGCCCGTGCGTTATCAATAGATCTATGCTACATTCAGGGTCTGCTCAATAGAAGGTTATACTAATTGGTAAAGTGTTATTTTCTTGGTTTTGGGATTAGTTAGACTCATTGTACTGAGATATCTAAAAGAAGAAAATTTACCGCCCCAAGTGCCGAGGAAATAGAATACTTTGCTGGTAGTCAAATATCAACATTGCTGGCAAATTTGTCTGGGAAAGGAATGGACTCCGGGAAAGCCATTGAAAGCCACCAATTAGATATCGGTGGTAAATGACCTAGCATCAGTCAAAAACAGAAGGCGTTCATGATGTCAGTGCATCATCATCATCATAATCATTATCCATACATATCGAGACGGAATCTTGCCTATGCCCTTGTGAAGGTATTGATTTTGTACATCAACTGCCCAGCATGGTTGTAGCCCACAGAGCTCTGAGGGACCACATGTTCCGTAACACAGCGCCTGTCTCAGACGCAGTCGCGCTCTTTGATGCTGGGGCTGGTCAAGTGAGTGTCCAGGCGCATGGCTCTCGCACAGCTATCTTACTTATCAATAATCAAACGGCAGTCCCAGGGTGGTAGGAAGCATCAAGAGGATCGGTGCGCAGTGATTTTCCCGAGTCAATTTCCTTCGAACATGGAGGACAAGGTTGCATTCTTCGCAATCTATGATGGGCAGTAAGGAAAGCCTCGAAGTCAGTCCCTTAAATGAGTCTCGATTGACCAGTATCTCCAGTGGCTCTGAGTTAGTTTCAGAACACGTTAAGAACAGTCTGCACCACTTGTTCGGACGGCGGCCGGAGTTCGAACGAGAGGATTGGGCCGGGGCTATCAAGGCAGCACTGGCGGAAGAAGACAGAATTCTGTTGGAGAGGTTCAAGCATGAATCTGTCGAGCCTGCCGTCTCAGGGTCGACAGTTGCAATGTGTTGCATTAATCTCACCAAGGGCGAGCTGTTCGTCTCCAATCTGGGCGACTCGCATGTTATCCTGGCCGAGCGAGACCCGAACACAGAGCGCCCGTATCACATTGTACGCACTGCCGTTGGTTTGGGTTGATTTGAGCGTGGATGCTAACAGCCACATTCTTAGCAACGTCTCACAGAGACTCACAAGCCCTCAGTTCCCAGCGAAAGGGCCCGAATTGAAGAGGCAGGCGGGACAGTCAGAAACCGCAGCGGCACAGCGCGCCTTGGTGGGTTAAAATTGAGAGTGGGCCTCCAAAATCCAATACTGACTGAAGAACAGGTTCCTTGAACATGTCTCGAGCAGTAGGCGACCTGCAGTACAAGAATCCGTTGAATACAATCGCGGACAACTTTGTTCCAGACCCCGCCTCATCTACTACCGGCCGATCGGAATCTCGGGGCAACTTCCTATCCAATGACCCATACACCTCGCTACAGAGGTTGCACACAGACCGCCGTTATCTGCTACTAGTGGTGTCCGACGGAGTTAGCGATCGAGTGGACGACGTGACCCTGGTTCAGCACGTGATGAAATTATCGATGCGGGGAACACGAGCGAATGAGATTGCGCAAGATATTGCCACCACTAGTGCTAGCAGGCCTCGCAGTGACAATGCAACATGTATTGTAGCGATGTTGGACGGACAGGGATCCTGAGACCTAGAATATTCAATGTTACACAAGATGTCCTATACTCCTTGTACTATAGTGTATACTGCTATATAGTATAGTCCTATGGTTAGCAAATTTAGCCAAAGTTCCCGAAAATGTTATGCAGCTGTGCCCACAGCCTACCAACGGTTCGCTCCTTACCCGATGAAGAAGGTGGTGTTGGACTATTTTGGATTTTTAACCGATTTTTCGATTTTTCGATTTTTGAGTATTTCCAGAATTTTGATAATTTCGTTTAAAATTCAATTTAGCTATTTTCATTTCTGAGTCCGGGCGTAATTAAAAAGAGGCAAGACCAAACGTCTACCAATTCAATGGCGTATTTATACACAGAGAACATTTGAAATTTAGGAAGTTTAGGGACACTTGGGATTTCCGCTTTTCCATTACTTCTACTAAATGATGCAATTTGAATTTTATATTGTATACGTTGTAGACTTGGAAGTATAATTGCAGTACAACTGCACTTCGTATAAAATGCTACAATCGGGGTCTCCCCCGCCCTACGTCGTCTGCATGCTTACTGCCGCTCTGCCCCGTTTTATCCAACCAGAGCTCGTGATTCTTCACACTCCAATGGATATACTCTCGAAAGCCCAGAGGCTCCGACAGAGGGGGCAGGACCAATCTGCTGGAAATCTGTCAAACTACATTAGGAAGGCGATTCAGTCTCGGAGTGGAGCTGGCAAAAGAAGCATAAGATCCGGCTGGTAGCCACCTTCCAGAACGGTCAACCCTGAAGGGGATCTCCCGAGTTCCATAGATACAAAACCGCCCGTCTATTCCAATTCTTTCTTTTTACTTCCCCTTTCGGTCTGATTTTCTGCATTTCCGTTACTGCGTTCAAATTTGTCTTTCATATATTGTATCCCTTCAATGATCCTGCCAGAAACCCGAAGACCTTCAAACATCTGACATGGCACCAAAAGAATGGAGTAACTTCCACGTGGGAAGAGAATGTAGCCACCAAAAGTGGTCTCGTCGAAACACCCCCAAGCTCACCGTCTCCTCCGGTGAGACAGTCTCTTTCGATGCTATCGACAGCAGCAATGGCCAACTCGACACGTCGTCCAAGGCCTCAGCTATCAAGACTTTGGATCTCGGCCTGGCCAATCCCGTCTTCGGCCCGATCTATATGAACGACGCCCAACCCGGCGATGTCCTCAAAGTGGAAGTCCTAGACCTCAAGGTTGCTGACTGGGGCTGGTCAGCCATCATCCCAGGGTTCGGTCTGCTGGCAGACGAATTCCCAGAGCCAGAGATCAAGATCTGGGAGCTGAATCGCGAAGCAGGCTTCGCCCAATTCAAAAACATGCGGATCCCCTTGCGTCCCTTCCTCGGATGCATGGGTCTCGCCCCAGCCAACGACGAAGAACTCTCGACCGTGCCGCCCACGAATGCCGGCGGAAACATGGACTGTCGAGAGCTCGGCGTCGGCTCCACTGTCTTCCTCCCCGTTCAAACTGCCGGTGCCCTCTTCAGTTGCGGTGACGGTCACGCTGCCCAGGGCCACGGCGAGGTCTGCGGCACCGCCATCGAAACCCCAATTCGCGCCACCCTCCGCTTTGAGCTCCTCAAGAACCAACCCTGGATGACTGCTCCTCAATTCCAGACCCCCCCCCTCGCCCAAATACCAAACCCCCTTCCCGACCTTGGAACCTACGGTGCTCTCGGTATTGCTCCTGACTTGTACGAGGCTACCAGAAGTGCTACTAGGAATCTTATACATTGGTTGGTGCAGACTAAGGGTCTCACTCGCAGCGAGGCATACATTCTTGCTAGTGTTGCTGGTGACTTGCATATTGCTGAAGTGGTCAACGTGCCCAACTTTGAAGTGGCTATGACGTTGCCCTTGGGCATCTTCTCTTGATATATTTTCTTTTCTCTTTTTTGCTTTTTTTTTGGAAGATGTCCTTGGTTACTTTCAAGAGGACAACATATGCTGGCGTGATACCCTCCTGGGAACATTGATTGATTTCGTGATTTCATTCCGATTGGACATATACTGGTGTGGCTGGGTTGATGTATTTGCATGATTCAGGACAAGCGTTGCACAAGCGAGCATTATATTCTAATGGAGTCTCCTCTTTGAGTGAGAAATCTATAGCTACATATGTAGTTAATCCATATGTACCCTTTCCTTAGTACATTGACCCTTCTCTATACCGGGCCTATCTTAGCTGCCGCTTTTGCAAGGACGTGGGCCTCTCGACTGAAAAGGTTTAATGCTGGAATACGTATTGGCCCCGATTGTTTTCAGTGGAATTGAAGTCCTAGAAACCGCAACGAAGTCTGCCAAAAAGGGGCTTTTCCGCTTTATCCTGGGATAAGCGGGTAAACCATAGGTACTATTTCTTAGGTGCCGCGTAGTCTGTAGTGATCTTCTCAGAATATAAAACCGGTGGGTCTGAACATATGTGGATAACCCAAAATGGCCCGTGCATGGTTGATATACTGCGCAAAGAGCAATATAGTCACTTTGTGTAGGTTACAGATAGTGCATTATCGATTCTTCAGTGATTGTAGCCCAACGATGGGTTGGCGTAAATGATCTACCACTCGTGGAGACACATGCTGTAGTCAATATGGGAGGGCCATCAAGAGCTAGCATTTGTACATTTTATGGCAAGATAAATCTATTCCTGTATTTAATCAGCCCTAGCTAGCATGTATATCTTATTATCATATGCTAATTAGTTATAATAACTGCTACTAGTATACTCTAGCTACTGCCTCGGCTGGAGCTTAGAGCACTCCTTTTTGCCTACTTCATTCTCACAACCACCGGCGCTGGGTATGGAACGACAATAGGTTTTTTCCTTGCGAACAACGCCGGCTATAATACCAAATGATCGCTGGCTTCCTCGGGGTTGTATATCAGATATTCCTATCACTAATCCCCACCAGACAATTGCGTAGGAACCCAGATCTTCCGACAATTATATAACCAAAAAATTAAATGGAAAAGAAAAGAGAAATGTCATAACCTAAAAAGAAATTCTGAATACCTCAGCGGAGGCTCGAACTCCGGACCTTACGATCACCGACGATTTCTCGTAGCTAGGTTGGGTCAGTAATGGCTCAGAATTGGGTCCTTTCCAAGGTTTTACTAACAAGTCGTACGCGCTGCCAATTGCGCCACAGAGGCCTCATCAAACAACATTCCTTAGTCCATGGAATCAAAGGTCAACCCGGCCAATTATGTTTTCCATGGCCAAATTACTTATTGTGATCACAACACATCAAAATAAGGTTTAATCCTATTATTGTATACAACATAAAGCTTGAAAACATTGAAGATCTATCTATAACGATACAACTATTACAAGATTGAAATTATTTCAAAAGCAACATTAATCTCAAATTTATTTCAATCCGTTTGCAAAGGTTAAAAGTCCATTTAAGATTCTCTATTCACAAGACGCGGAGTACAAACCCTCTAGCCACTACTACGACAGCGCATTCCCGAACTTCGCCACAATAATGGGCCGTGCGTCCTATATAATTGTCAACTCTGTCCCACTTTGCTTGAGCGCTTGTATCAGATAGGCAGGTCGCAATCCGGCACAGCGGGAGACATTGGGCCCACTGCCGGTGAAGGTTGAAAGAGGACCCTCAAAACATCACCAACAGAAGACGGGAAGCGGCATTGTGAGCGAGTCATGCGATGATACCTCCAAGGTGCAGAGAACGCATTTCAAGTCCAAGTTTTCCTTTAGTGTGCCTCTCGTGCAAAAGTCCCAAATTCTAACACCGGACTCCGGATACTTCCTTCATCTAGATCCAACGTCACCTTGACTTGGTTTGGAGTTCTAAATCTTGGTAGACACCGTGAAAATGTTTGAAGTTTAGGCTAAATTCACGGTCTGGAAAACTCCACCTTCAATCCTGTCTATAATAACTATTTTGACGAACTTGCGTATCCCGTATCCCGTATCCCGTGCCGTGCTCGGTGGCACTTGGACACATTTGTGTGCCGAGCGACTTGATTATCGAATAAATGGCTTTTCCTGCTGAAATCGAGATTAAGCTAACGTTCGAAATTATCTTGATGAATCTCGCTGCAACGATGGAATATCTCCTTGAATAAGGGAAGTTACATTACTCCCGTACTTGCCATAACATTCTGCTATTGGTATCGACCTGCCTTAACTGGAATATAACAGGTGATTTTTGCTTATATAAAGCACGTTCTTCCCATTCGTCTGTTTATTTGGAGCGAGTGGAATTCGAGGCATCGCCTTCCAATCTCGGTAATTCTATGGCGGGGTTAGGCAGAGGTGCTGTCAGACTTGCAGAATTAGAGGGCTGATCGGACTATGGCCCTAATTTATGTGTCAATAAGGATTTTGGTTAGCGTAAGGCCTATCGTTTGGATGTGATTACTATGTACATGTAGAGATCCGTCCATCTTGTTCTTTCTATGGTATAGATAGTGAAAACAAAGCACAAATTGCAACACTAAGAGCAGTGACCTACATTTTTGTCTGCTAAAGTGTCATCAGAAAGTAACATGAAGCCAAGCAAGTCAAAAACAGGCATATAGGATGTTTATATGCCACAAGGCTGGGCATAACCTCCCTCAATTCTACCCGCAACTATCCAATCTGCGGGGGTCTTCGCCATTCGCCGTCTCACAAGTATCCCCTTAAGGCCATCTTGTACATTAATCATCAAATTTTCCAATTGAGAGACAGATAGCAACTTCCAATTCCATCAATTCTTCAAATTCTTCGAACACTCAACTTCCTCAATGTAGAGCGGAAGTGTCACATGACATCGCGTTTTGTCGCGTCTCCTCCTCACAAGCACCCGCGCGTTGGTCAAACACCCCACATGTCATGGATCCGATTTTGGATGGCTTGAATCATGCTCAGCGAGAAGCTGTCACTTCATCTGGCTCAATCCTACAAGTACTCGCACCACCGGGCTCGGGCAAGACAAAAACATTGACCGCACGCGTCGCATACCTCCTCTCACACCACCGATACCAACCACAAGATGTTATCTGCTGCACATTCACTATCAAAGCCAGCCGTGAGATGCGGGAGCGGCTCGCAAAACTCATCGGAGAAAAACTCGAATCGCGCTTGATTCTCGGCACTTTCCACTCCATCTGTCGTCGCTACTTGGTCAAGTACGGATACTTGATCGGCCTGCGGAAGGGGTTTGGCATTGCCGATTCGGATGATACCCGCGCAATTATCAGAGTACGATTAACACTTTTATATTGTATCTGTTTGTTTCTCTAATTATGGACTGCAGAGAACTATTAAACGTCTGAAGTCTAGCATTGAAGTCAAGGCGGCACAAGGCCGAATCTCTCGACATAAAGCACATGGTCTCAGTCCTGATGCCCTGGCCGATAGAGCCAAAGCGGAGGAGTTGGAGCTTGTTGATATCTATCGTGACTACGAATCAGCACTGGCGGCCTCCAATCTCTTGGATTATGATGACCTCCTTCTGCGATGTGGAGATCTGCTCCGAGATCACCCAGAATGTGTCTCAAATGTGCAGGCTGTTTTGGTGGATGAGTTCCAGGATACCAACATCATACAATATGAACTAATGAACCTCTTCGCATCTAAGAACCGACGGATCACCATCGTCGGGGATCCCGATCAAAGTATCTACGGGTTTCGTTCTGCGGAGATCCAGAATCTCAAGCGGATGCAGCGGCGATATTCAAACACGACGGTTGTGCTCTTGGAAGACAATTACCGCTCTGCTGCTTCTATCTTGAATGCAGCCCAAGAAGTGATTGAGCAGGATACGAGTCGGCCTGCCAAGGCACTCCAAGCGACGCACTCCTTCGGAACTTTGCCCGTGCTGAGAAAGCTCCCAAATCCCAACGCAGAGGCGCAGTGGATGGTACTTGAAATCAAGCGCTGTGCAGCAATGACCGGCGGTCTATTACGGATGTCTGATTTCGCTGTCCTGCTTCGGTCAGCTTCGCTGTCTACACAGATTGAAACGGCCTTTGGAAGGGCCGGTATACCATACAAGATGGTCGGAGGCCGAAAGTTTTTCGATAGAACCGAAGTAAAGATAATTCTCAACTATATGAGGGTTGTTAGCCACACCGGGCATTCGGACGCGTTGATGAATATCTTGAATGTTCCGCCACGAAGGATTGGCGACGAGACAGTCAAGCAATTGACTAGTGGTGCGGAGAAGGCCAACATTCCACTGTGGAACTTCACCAAGGATGTCATCCAAGGGCGCCGCTCGACTGAGAAGAAGCTGCAAAAGGCTGCAGAGCAGGGACTTTGCACTTTGGTCAAGTTGATAGAAGCCTCTAGACAGAAGTTGCAAGAGTGTGAGGATGCATCTGCTCCACGTATTCTGATTGAGTTCATTGCCGAACGTCTCTCGTTCCAGGAGTATCTCATCAGGACATATCCTCTTGACGAAGACAGTCGCTGGGCGAATGTCAGGGAATTGATGCACCAAGCCAGTGAAGTTGCAGCATTTGAAGAAGAGGAGGTTGATAAAGAAATGGATCTCCCTGAAATCGAAGGTGTGCAGCAAGAGCAGGCACATTCTGGCGAAGAGGCTCTTACTCGGTTCCTGGCAAATGTCGCCTTGGCTACGGAGATCACAACCAAAGAAGAAACCAAGGAGGGAGACCAGCCAGCGGAGAAAGTCACTATTTCAACTATCCACGCTGCCAAGGGCCTGGAGTGGCCAGTCGTGTTTGTTCCCGCAGTATACAACGGGAGCATTCCTCACTCGCGTGCGGAGGTAGTAGAAGAAGAGAGACGATTGCTGTATGTCGCAATGACAAGAGCACAGGCCCTGTTATACCTGAGTATTCCTCTTCGACAACCCCGGTTAGGAGAAGGAGAAGACGGTGCGACCACTTTGACACCATTCCTTCCTCCCAAGTTGACTAAAACGCGCTTTCGGCAAACCGGACCGTCTCTTCATGAGAAGGTGGTGTATGCAATTGCCGATATTCTGCGTCGCCCTCGGCCGTCTTTAGATGACATCTACAAGGGGCTCGAGTTTCTTCCATCAACGCTGGATGACCGATGGACGCCCGAGGGCGAGGAAGACAGCAGCAAATTCGATAGCACAACTACCTCTCACGATGCCTCTGGGGAGCCCAATCCAAAGCGACGGCGGTCAGACATGAACCAGGGGCCGAAATCGACCACCTATATCTCATCGACTGGGTATACCATGAATAACTCGACGGGGTTTACAATTCCTACAACCGTTTCATCGGGTTTTACGTCTGCCCGGGATTACATAGCGGCCAACCCCGAGCCTCCCGCAGAGTCAGCCTCAAAGCCTCCGGCAGCTGCAGACGCAGATGCAGCTGGGCCAAACAAACCGAAACCTCTTAGCAGTGCAGGCCGTAAAGACGGACTAACACAAGCAAGCATATCCAACTTTTTTGCAGGCCCAGGATCCTCCCAGAAGAGGGAACCAGTTCTGCCTAGCCAGCCACAGCCTCCATCATCCCGCAGATACGAAGGGGTACCGTCGCAGAACCAATGCTCAGGGGCAAGAAGCATCGTCCCAGCTACTCTCTCCTCTCACCGTGTCCAGCCTCGACCACTTATTCCAACGCGGCCGACACTGGAGCCTACGAATCCCAATGGCTACACGTGGCTCGCAGCTCCATCAAAACCAACAAGCCTGAAACCTGCCAGCATGTCGATGACGCAGGAACAGAGCGGCAACAATCCTTCAGGCGGAACAGCCGGGCCAGACGAGGTGAAACCCGAGAGCTCCAGCCGCGGGTTCAAGCCGGTGACGACGTTCCACAGCACGACGATGTCAATGGTTCAACAAGCACCGCGACGGACGTTGGGAATTCGGCGGAGCATGAACGGGTGGCAAGACCGGATGAAGCGAGAGGGCGGTGGACAGGCGAGCTGACACGATTTACGATTTCGGGGGAGGCTGGTCTAGAATCCTAATGGGACGGGTTATCCGTGTCCACGGGACCAGGTCAGGCAATCCACACGCTTCGCAATCTCATTGCTGGTTCAGGCGTTGCTGGGGAAGCCCGGGGTATACTTAGCTTGGAAAGTGATTGACCAGAAAAGGGTTGACTCCAGGGCCAGAATCCCGGTCTGGATGGAATGACGCACATCCGTGCCCTACGGGCCAGACTATGACTTGTTTATGCGTTGCTCTACTCCGTATAGGGAGATGTATATGTACCTAAGTTTCATAATTTTTATTTTCCCCATGGGATGACCCTGTATGAATCGGGGCGGGCAGATCTTCCGATGGAGCCTAATACGATTAGGCAGGCTTCTGACTGTTGACCAAAAATGAGTGACAATATAGAATAATAATTGAGACCTAAGATTCTGGACCACAGTGGAGTTACAATTGCGGTGAATGGGAATCAATAGCCCCTGGTTATTTCGTCATCTCATCATTTCTGGCCATAGCTAATAGTAGGATACTTATATACACGCACTTTGTACAGCCGCCATTGGCGAGGTAATCCTAGCGGTGAGGAAGCGAGGAATCCCATTCATTGAAAATATTACTATTTTGGTTATTTTCAGTTATTTTAGTTACACGACCAGTCCAATTCTGTAAATAGTCCAGGAATGGCTGACTCATCAGTATATTACAATACAGGACCAGGCCCTAGTAACTTTAACTGTTCTCCCCATTTATCACTGGCTGCCCTACTTTCGATCGACCCTCTACACCAATCAACGCTTCAATCGTGGCAGTCTCGAGGTAATTACCAGGCACCAAATACGTCAGGGGTGATCCATTCCGAGCTCTTGACCTCTTTTGACAGGGAGCTCGACGTGTGTTCCCCAGAGTGTAGATCGGGGTGAAGCTCAATGTGGAATGGGCTATACAAAAAGAAGTCGTCGCCCTCGATCACTTCATCATCATCCAAACTACAGCTTATCAACATCACTACTGCACTATTGTCTTCTCTTATATTTCTATTTTTGTCTTTATCTTTTGTCTATATCCTATTTGTTGTCCTTATAATCTGCTCACAGTTCAACACTGTGTGCCTCACGCTTGACGCTTTCTATACATACCACTTCATTTCTTCATCTCTCTACCTCTTTACTCTCTACATCTAATATCCCTCTTATTCCTCCATCTCCATCTTCAAACCACACACCATTCCTCCTACTATCCTACTATTCTCTCATCACAATGCCACACAAAGTGAACGACTCCAACTCCACAATAGCCAGCAGAGGCAGCAGCAACGATCAGGTGGTAGCCACCGAAGTCCGGAATCTGAGTATGTCAAGTCCATCACATCCCTGTCCCGATCTCCAGATTCAGCCCGAGCTAATGTAGACCCTAGCAACCAATCCCGTCCGCAAACCTCCGGTGGTTGTTCACAACAAGGGCGGCCGAATCTACGATGAGACACGGCCGTCTGACTGGGACAAACAACGCTGGAAGTAGTTGTTCTTTACGGAGTACAATTCTTGCCTACGTTCATATGCATTGCCTCAATTTCTGCATTACGTAGGTTCGGCTCGAAGGAGACGCGGATACCATTTTACACGCGCGTTACAACGAAAAAGAAGTCCAGACCAGAAAAAGACAAAATGCCCAAAAAAAGAAAAGTGAGGCGATGATCGACAAAGACGATTGGGGAGATAATTGGACGCCAATACCCCTTTTTTCGCTTTCACCCTTTCGCTTTCACCCTTTCTCTTTTTCCCCCTGACCAGATCGGGATTTCTACTTTTCTGATTCTCTGATCTCTCGGATTCTCGGGGCGCTGCCGTCTTCCATTTTCACTTTACCTGAATCCCTGCGTCTCCCCGGATTTTCGCGTCTCCACTCTTCCCCCTTGTACTATTATTCTGGTTTCTGAGGCGTTTTGCTATTTGCTTTGACTTGTCTCTCTTCTCTCCTCTCTCCTCTCAGGGTTCACTTTTGTGATCTCCTAGTTATAATTGTCTCTCCCTTTCCCCCTTCTACTTTCTACATTCTACCCTCCCAACTCTACTGGTTACTGTTGAGGTGTTTGCCTCTCGGCATTGTTACCTAGCAGCTAGCTGCATGGTCATGCTGCGGGGGCTAATTGGGTAGACACCCTATTTGTTTTCTTTTGTTGCGATGCATAGCGTGGGTATTATTGGATCTGCTGGATCTAGATTTATTGCGAACGAGCGAAATTGTATTCTCAAGAGAAATATCATTATTTTATGGGGATTGTTAGTTTGAACCCCCCTTGGCTAACGTATTCGGCAAGCGAGTGACGCACCTAAACCACCCATTGAATTTAAATAGATGTTTTCAAATGTTTTCTTTGGAGTCGGCACATATAGGAAGCACAAATGGCCATTGTATCGTCTAGTTGGAACATGCGTTGCAGTCAATCAGACTTACAGTGGAGTCCAAGGAGCCAGCTCGGTCCAGATCACCGTGGATACCACTAATAATGAGCCCCCAGCGTCGAAATACGAGGGTGGTCGCGCGTTCTGGCTGTCGCTTGCCATTGACTCTTTCCACAAGAGGCTATCCTGTCTTCAGAGCCTTTTGAACCCCCTGAAGTGCTATTTCCATCTGAACCCTACATTCACCTAATGAATTGGAGTCTCACCTAGGCAAATAATGTTCTGTGCGTTCTCATAGAGACAAGTCTGCCAGCTTCGAAAGGCTGATTACAGTGAGAACAAAATATCTTCTCAGGTTGAACTCATTCAAATTCTCATGTTCCCCGCTCTTTAAATTCCAATCTCGATTTCACTTCCAGTTTGTTGAAGGGCAACTTTTCTCCGAATCTGGAATACCTGCTCATCCGGCTGATATATGCGCTTAGCCTTTTCTAACCTTGCCGAAGCGTCGATTTCACGTGGATCGGATATGTCTTTATTGCTCCAGCTGAGCTTCGCCCTTCCCGCTTGCACTTCATACGTAAATTTGTATTCTGGGCGGGCAGCATTCGCCACGAGGCTTATCTATCTTAACTGAGGCATTCGGAGGGCCGCCTGACCAGCTGAAAGGTAAAATTTATCGATATAAACCGGGATAATCCTTGTTCGGAAGATGGTACGCTTACGATCCTCGAGAGAAATCCAGTCAGCGAACAACGAATACCTCATAGACAATAATGACGATTTACCCGCTTCGGACCTCCGCACGGAGCACGTTTTCGAGGTACACCTAGTCAGCCATTTCCTTGAGTGGGTGTGCGCAGGGAAGGATGAATTCAAATACGGGAATTTTAAAAAGCTTCCTTTCCTACTGGTTGGACCCGCCCTGATTCTACTTAGTGCGCCGATGTGTTTGGAGGTAAGGATTCCAGAAGAGTATGAGTAACGGATTGACGTAAACTAACGATATGTGTACAGGTCCCGATGACGGAATGCAGTGGTCAAGAAACAATGGAAAACCAAAGAACTGGGTTCAACATACTGCTGACTTTCTGGGAAGCGAGGATAACCTTGACCTGCTCGTTATATATCACCATAAACCCAACGGAGTCAAACAGGCGATTACCGAAGGAAAGAAGTCTGGTATCCCCAAGGACCAACCGAAGAAGGGGATTAAGGTTGAGCCAAAAGATATAGCGGACAGGGTCATGATGAGTGCCACCGTTTTTGACTACCTGCGAGAACTCAGCGACAAGTGGATCAAGCCCAGCCAGAACATCGAATTGATCTCGGACGAATTCGACCATGAGTATACCCGCCAATATAATGCCCAGAACCAACCAAAAGGAAAGCCCCTCAAGAAAGACGATACCCCCCGTGGCCTCAAGCACTGGGGTTTGCGTACCCTATGGGCCTACTGGATTGACAACCACCTGGCCAAGGTTGAGCAGATTCAGTCGGATTGGCACAAGACCGCTAAGGACAGGATGAGTACCATGAAGGATGCCCAGGGCAAGATAGACGACGTCGCGAAGAAATTCGCAGACATCACCATGACTACTGGCGATGCAGCAGTAGGAAAATTCGTGTTCCCCATGTCAAACCCGGGTAACCCGCTTCCTGGCACTGCGACAAGTTCATCAAATGACCAAAGTAAGTACGGAATGTGGGGAGGTAACAACCTAGGAAAGCTGGGCCTGTAGTAGATTTGATATTTTTGGATGTATATAAAGTTGGATGAGAAGTGGTTAGAGATGAGACCACCCGAGAAGTACCTAGTTCAAGCTGTTAATTCAAGTTGTCGGGACTGTAACTTGCATTTTGATACTCCAGTCTACGTTGGTCGATTAGTCCCAACTGTCGATCTTCCCGTCGTTCCCCACGTTTACTTCACTAGTCTTTTTTCAAACCTGTTTTCCATCAAGTGTTATTTACCCCCCAAAGACCAGTCGTCATGTCTAGGTCTTGGAAACAAGTGCGCACTTACGCTGACCATCTGGGTCATCCTGTCGTGCTCGAGCAGTACGTAAACCCAGAATACGAGCCAGAGCCCAGTGAACTAGTTGCCTTTCAGGTCTACAGCCTTGTTCCCCTGGACGACGACCACGACGAGCTCCGAGACTACCTCATGCAGATGTTCTGGAATGATGAAGTCAAGCCTTTGTTCGAGATTTATTTATACCGCCCGCCCGATGGCTTTGCCTGCATTGAGCATAATCGCATTGAAATCGCCCGTCGCAAGCAGCAACATCAGTCAGGGGTCGAGAATCCCCTCCCACTGATTCCGAGATTCAATCGTCCATATTCATCCACGAATGTTGGATTTTGTGTCCTACTGCGATCGCACAGTTATCGAGTGGGCAATATGCAGGACTCGGAGGAGGCTGAGGAGATAGGCGAAGGCCCAGACTTGCTCTATTTCAATCGCACATTTTCTAGCACGTGCACTAAGGTTGACGTGGCGCAGCATTTGCGTGAGGGCCAAGAGAAACTCCCGTCAGAGGCATTTGAATTCGTCATCGAGCGCCTTATGGACCAGATCTATATAGGCCAGTTAATGATTCTCGATATCTTCAATAATGTCCCTCGCTATCCGGAGCGAGACGCCTTAGGTATTGATGAGGGCGAGCCTCCTAGCCAGGATATGCCGACAGAAGAACAGATTCGTGACCAGCTTGGCCAAGAAACCTCAGTTGGCGGCTTCTCTCTTGATCCGGCATTCCATATTTCTCGGGAAGCCAACATCGTGACAGTCACTAATACCCCTGAGGGCGAAACCCCTGATATTCAATACATTGTCCATGCGGCCTTTCTCAGCCACATACGCGACGCAGAAGGTTCCTCTATCTTGGAAAGCACAGCGCGCCTCTTTACGGCGTCAATGGTCTCCAACCTCCCGGCCAACAAAACTCTCGCTCTCAAATTCTTCATTCCAAAGTCCAATTCCTGGTCGGCCATCAGGCCCGCCCAGAACGAAGTTCTTGAGATTCTATCCCAGCAAAATGAAGAGAATCGAGAAAATCCCTTTTCTATTGGCGCCCTACACAATATCACAACAGGCGATAGTCAACCCCTAGCAGCAAAACGTTTTACTCCTCAAGGACCCGACCAATATATTAAAAGCTCACAGGGGGCATGCGACGATAGCGGATTTCGCATGTTCACAGTTGTTCTTGACCGTGCAAAGTTTGTCTCAGAGGCTGGGGTGTACTTCTTCATGACGGACTCGGACGAGTCTGAGGATCCGGACACTTCATCTGATGATACGATCGTTTCCCGGGTCGTAGACATGAATACGGCTGCTCGGCGGCTGGGGGTGGTTGTTCTTGATGAATGATCTAGTCTGGTAGGTCAATTGTTCATGTCTATTCCTATTTATTTTGATCCGCAAGACAACTAAGTAAACTGAAGGGGAGGGGAGTCTTCCTCAAGTTTCTGCTGTGATGCCTGGGATCTAAGGCATCGACCCCTCGTGTGTAGATAGGTTAGTTAGTATGGGAGCTCGCTTCCTTCTCTCCCAATACAACTCTCTCCTCTCTGCTTTCTTGGCCCTACACAGTAGCGTCCAACAGTTTCACTGTTCATCGACGTGGACACCGGCATTCCTGAAGTGTCCCCTCGCACTTTGCTCTCTTGCTCCCACTCGTTCAACACACCACTCCAGAAAAATATGAAAGCCCTGTTCAGGATTGTCTTGGTAGTATCCCCAATGCCTCCGAATAAAAGATTTGAGTTCGGAGAAAAACTCCTCGATGGGGTTCAAGCCAGGCGAATAAGGAGGCAAATATATCACCTCAAGGGTGAGAATTGTCACCCCGTTCTCACCTCTCTCACCCCAGTCTCAAGACTTCTCACCCATATCACCCGCACTCACCCTAGAGTGCCGCTTAGGTACTGAGGGAACATTGAGTATTGGCCGTGCAGAATATGTGGCTTATATGCGGCCAATAGTTCGGTGGGTGTCGCCCGGGTGAGAAATGGGTGAGAGCCGCTTCAGCGTCGTGCGACCGGGGGTGACAAGGGTGAGTACATAACTAGGGAATATAATAGCTCCCTTTGACCTTTTCCTCTCGAGACGAGGGTATATTAGACCCTATAATCTACGTCGTGAGCTGGATTTGCTCTATAACCACTGAATGACTAGTAAGATCCTTAACTAGGAAGGCTTCACAAACTCGTATCCTCTGGACCAGGAAAGATCGTATAAAAACGCTATTCGCAGCCTATGTGGGACTAGTATCATGTTTTGCTAACCACCTGTCAAGGGTTACCACTAAGCCTGAAGGGTACCGTCGACGACGGTCCAACATGGTTCACGCGGCTCACTTTTATGATAGACTGACCCTATTGACAAAGCACTAGTTAGTACTAATGAGCCCCATAGGACTGGAAAATCGACCTCTCTGGAGTGAATGCATCACTAACGTTCCAGAATTCTCACAGTTGAAGGGTCATGGTCGACAAACCAAGCCCTGAGAGGTGCCTTGCTTCAGAACCACAAAATTTCTCTGCTCGAGATGGAAAGGGCAGTGGAACCCAGTATCCCGACCCTCTATACGGAAGATATGGGGACCCAGACATTACGCCAGGCTTTTGGGCCACTACAGCTTTAACTGCCCGGAACACGCCAGGGACCTTATTAAACCACTTCGGGTCGATGACGCTCTTGCGGGACCTGGTAATGCAGGCAAATGGGAAGAATAGTAAGCGGGAGATCATCACAGAGGAAGAATTCAACATTAAAATTGGATAGTTTCTCTTCTGCGTTGAGGTTGTAGCGGGTCACGCGGTGGGCGAAAGGCTTTCAACTGAGCGGTCTTGTCTCTCTTGCCAACAATACGACGGCAAGTTCACAGCCTGTGTCTTGGTCCCAGGGCAGGAGTACTGTACAAACTGTCTTCGGGGATGACGGGAGGGCAAGTGCGAGTTCAGAAAGTCCACCGAAGCCATCCCGAAACGACCAGCTAAAGGGCCGGAAGAGAAAAAGCGATGGCGCACATGAGGCACGGATGGCAAAAAACACATTTCCAATGCAGAGAATGCCAAGACCGAAACCCCGGAAAGCTTGAAAACGTTGGATCAGAGCATTTATGATGCAGACCGGGGTGTGTCCCTTCAGCGTAAATCGCTTGAGGTAGCGGAGGATGCGTTGCAGAAGCTCAAGGCTTACCGCCAGCAGGTTGCGCAAGTATATAATAATACTCCTTTCCAGACAAGAGGGCAGGCGTTCTTCATTCGGCATCATCGCACCCCAGGGAATATCAATGTTTTCGGTTGCCATCGAATAGCCTTTCCCATAAGCCATAGGGGCGCTGGTTCTCCGTGCCAGACAGCAACGAGGGGCGTGTGGGAAGTGTTGTGGTCTGTGCCGATGAGATGATATTGTGGGAGGTGACATGCGCAACGAAGCTGTATGCCGGGTCATTGCGGGGCATCATGGCCCAAACTTCAACAGGGAGGGTGAGAAGGAGAATGGTGGAGCCTGTAAAAATCCCTTCAACTGTCACATCGGCCCACACCACATCAGGAGGGATGTAGTGGGCTAGCCAGGCGCTCCATTGGGCGTAGTCGTGGGGCATGTCATTTCGAACTCGGACTTGAATCAACACTCGACGACTCTTTCGCTCCAGGCTCCTCCGGCGTATCTCGCGAGGAGGTTCGCGGCTCAGCGTCACGCTTGGTGATCCTCGCTTTGGGACATAAACGGGCGAAGCGCCGACTTGGTTTTGGTGTGCGAAACGAAAGACTTGTGTGTAGATGCCAGCGAGGGTTTCAGGTCGGCCATTAAGATCACGGAGTGTCTCGATCAGGACCTGGGTTAAAGAGTAGGTAGGATTTGCCGTTGAGGTCCCCTCCCAACCCGACGCCGCCATAAATTCCGACCCGTCGTGGTCGCCTAAAGCTCTGGACCCCGCTGAGCAACAGTCAAAGATATAGCATGTGTCGCCACTGTGTTGCTCAATAAAAGACCGGACTGCCCACCAGTTGAGGGTTGGGCCCTGCAGGTGCCCATGTTGATCCGTCCGGCCACTGTCATTCTATAGTCAACATCCAATCAGAAGGCGGGGGAGCTCTATAACTTACGCCAGGTACCAGTCACTTGCTATTGTTCCTGAGAGTGCTGCATGCCCAGAATAAACAATAATTCTTAAAGTTCCATCTCCATCGTTGCGCCCACACCAAGCGTCCAGCCGGTCTAGTAAGGCCCGTTGCGATCCGACGGAAGGAATCTTGAAGTTGTCCACCTTGAAGTTGTAGATATTTCGGAAGACATCGAGAAGCTCGGACTCCAACGCCTCAACGCCCCGTCTAGTCATTCTCCCAGTGGAATGCAATCACGGCAGTGCTCACGTAACACAAAGCTGGATAGCATAGTTGATCGATCCTCTGAGATCAGTAGTCAATTCTTCGAGCTGCTTTCTGGCCTCGGAGGCGTCATAGGCAGCTGGTGGGTGAAGTGACATGGCGGTTTATTGTAGGGGACATATAAATCAGAAGCATGGTTGTCATATGAGTGCGATTCCAAGGTTATGGAAATAAATCGGCAGACTATCATAGGCGGCATACCATAGCAGAATTCCCTGACTGTGCTGCTCAACACTTGTGCTGAGGCAAAACGACCCCTGGCAAACAGATTTAACAATTATGACTTTCTCTACCCCTTCAAAGTGATACTTAAGCTCTTCCAGATTAGCCTCAACTCATCCCGAATATGCTTCCACTACTCAATACGTTCCAAACCTCGAAGTCTTCGCCCGGGCTATGAACCCCTTACCAGTGTCATGTGAGGTATAACTGGTACTGAATGTGATGAGGATAGTAAAAAGCAGAGCTCCCCATATATGTTATTAGCTGCTGATTACTGTGCTCGTCAGATCAGACCGAAATTTCGGTCATATGATGTGGCTGACTTCGGATCCCCTCTCTCCAGCCCTGGCTCAGTAGCAAATAACAACGTGTTCCTTTTTGTTATATCAAAGCGAATGCGACTAGAATGCTCTTCTTCGGCAATCGCTGGTCAAAGCCCCATTGCTTTTCTCTACCAAACGAAGATTTTTATTCTTTCGAAGATAGTCCGGCTTTCCTGGTCGACTCATTCAAACGATGATATCTCGGATAAAGGTGTATAAAGACGGGAACTCCCTTGCAAATCAACCATTTTCACTTTCTAGTGTACAATGCGGAAGCTTGAAAACTTTGAAGTTTATCGTATCCGTATAATAGCTTTCACTGGGTTTGAAACGCTGTGTTAAGCCTGATTAGTGAAGCGTTCTGAATTATATTAGCTGTACATTCCTCCAAATACCAAATATCCAGAGCTGTAAGTACTAAACAGGTCTCCAGCTGTATATAAAGGTTCTATCCCAGAGTATGCTTTCTAGTCTTATCTTAGATAACATCGGCAATGCCTATCACTCAAGTGTGAACGGGGAACTGCTGGCGGGGGCGTTCAATAGAAGGAATGGATATCGGAGGCATAGGTGACTTCTTTGACTTCGAGCCGGTTAGACGAGTCGCGGGGGAAGAATGCTATGAAAGCGCGGTTCAGGGATTATTCTCGCCATATCTATTATACATCCGCCTTTCCTGTCCCTGGCTGCACGACACTAACCCGGCAGCAAACCGGCGTTCATCCACACATTTTCCCTATCCTTTTTGCCTGCCTATAGAATTCCTCACTGCCAGACC